CATTTGAGAGCACTGTAAGACTATCCAGGCTGGGTTTTCCATACACTTTCACACTCACAATATGAGGCAAAGAATATAGCCCCTGCCTTCACCAGCACAATTTCTGTCCCTACTTTAAATTTTTACATGTATTTAATTCCTACTTGATCTTAATATACCATTTAAAACATTCTGTGTGACTCTCACACAGCAGCCTTTCACCTTTGTATGTTTTGAGTTTTCCATATTAGTGTATGTGGGTAGGAATGACAAGTTCACAGGTGATAAAAATTATGGATGTTTCAAAGTATATTTCAGGGCTGGGGATATAGCTCAGCAGCCTAAGTGCTTGCCCGGCAAGCCTGAAGTCATGAGTTTGATTCCTGGTACCAAAAAATCCCAAATAAACGAACAGAAAAAAAAACCCAAAAAACAAAGTATATTTCAGTATATGAAGTACAGTAATCAATTTGTATTAAAATATAGAGCATCCTGATATAAACCAAACTGTTTTTTAAAATCACCCATTTTAGCATTTTTTTTCATTGTCACACATATCAAAAGTAGAGCATCACTCCTTTAAACTTTTTGTAGAGCAAGAAAATAGCTAAATATAGTATTTTGGAAAATAAACACCAAAAGGGGGGAACATCTCTCTACATTTATCCTTTAAAATAAAGTTTTTATTCTACCTTTTCTCTCATCAAATCTCTATTCCTTGTGCTTTTTATACATACTGCTTTCCTTTTATTATTTCATTTCACATTTTTGAACCATTTTCATTATATCTAATTTAATTCTTACCATAACTTTGAGGAAAATGTGATTATTTCTGTTAATGATGGAACAAGCAATGACGTAGTTTGTCCAGCATGAAAGGATGATGAAGAAACAAGGGTGAGTTGCAAGTATCCCAAAATGAACTGTCCCTATCCTTTTCCTTGATCCAAATAATCTAAGCCTCACCAAAGATTTACCTTTCAAACTGACACTTTTTGTTCTCATTTCTTAACTAGTGACAATCTAATTCATCATTTTTCTGTCTGAAGAGGAGAATATAAAAATGGTACAGTATAATAATTTTAGGTTATGCTGATACCCATTAAGACAGGAATCATGGCAATTATTTCAGTGCTGACAAGAAGTGCGTGGGTACCTGTCTCACTTTTCTGATTCAGTTGCTGACAGTGCTCTAAATGAAGCTTCAAGTCTTTGTGAGAATTCTTTCCATTTAAGATTTTAAAATCAGTATTTCTTTCTTCTCAAAAGTGTTTTCATAACCAGTTTTATGTGGGGAGAGAAGTCCTAGAGAACAGCTCTTTAGAAGAACTTCAAATACCTTTTCTCATGTCCTTTCCCTCCCCTCTTTCCCCACTCCCCACATTTCTGGATTCCCTTCCCATTTGAGAAAGATCTGTCTCCCTACTTCCTATTTCCTATCTTTTATTTTGTTCTTATTATAATTCAGGTTTCTTATATAATTGAAATCATGCAATATTTAAGCTGTGTGTCTGATTTATTTCACTTAACATTATGGTCTCAAAGTGAGATGAGCTGGGTGTGCTGGAGCATGCCTGTAATCCCAGCACTTGGGAGGCTGATGCAGGAGGACTGTTGTGAGTTCAAGACCAGCCTGGGGCTACAGAGTGAGCTAAAGGTTAGCCTGAACTGCATAGCAAGACCTTGTCTCAGAAAGACAATAAATAAATAAACAAACAAATAAATAAAATAAATTAAGTTGAGATGAAAAAAGGAATTAAGATGTGTCATGTACATGTACCAATTCCATACAAGGACTATAAATATGTATTGCAAATGTACCAATGAAAATCTTAGAATCTTCAAATATAATGATCTGAACACATCACAACTTGGAATAACTAAATTACTACAGCATATTCAATAAATTTCTCCAAATGTAAGTTTTTAAAAGAAACTGACTTCATTTTTCTTTTCTACTTTTAGCATTACTTTAAATGTAAGTGGCCAATATCAACAAATACTTTCCACTTACTCCATAGTGCTACCCCTTTACATTAAGAAAGGAAAAGCCATTTGTGACAGTTTATTTTTAGATATTGATCATCTCATTTTTCTGCAAAGGGAATAAAAATAATTAAAGTTGAACAAAAAATAATTTGAAGCACAGCATTTTTCAAATCATAGCTATCATCATAACTGCTCACATGAGATTTCTTGAAAGTTTGGTAATAAATGTATGCCCTAGATGATTTTTTTAAATAGAAAACCTTAAATCAATTACTGCCTTATAATAAGATTTGTGAAAAGAATGTTGAGCCAAACAGTGCAACTACTGAGAGCTGTCGAAAACATAAACACTGTAATATGAGAATGGGATATATTTTCTATAAAGTTGTCAATATCAGACATTTGAACATTCTGGAAACAAGCAAAAACTGAATTATTTATTAGTTAGATGGTAGGTTCTTAAAATTGCAGAATGTATGGGTTGGTCACATCTGACACAAACTGTACTTCCATCACTGCAAAGGTCTCCATAGAAGAACTTAATCTACTGAAAATTATTTTACCCATTCTTCTCAATCAACAGTTAGTAGTGACAAAGGCATGCTCTGCAATCTGTGAGTTCCAAAGCAAACTCTCCATTTCTGAACTCTATATGTAAAGGTTAAACAATAGGTAGCTTTTTTCAAGATGACTTTGTTTCCCTAAAAACATTAGGTCTGTATGAATTAAGTAGTAACAAATCATATGACACTCTCCTTCAAGATTTCTAAAAAAGCTTATTGTGGTTACCACTTAAAGTTCCAGTCTTGGTTTATCAGGCCACCAAGTGTTGACCCACTACTCAAAAGTAAACCTTAAACTGATCATCTAGTTCCAGACGTTTGGAGGACACAAAAAAAGTGAAAATCACCCTATGTCATAAATGTACATACTTAATTATTTTCAAGTTGAGATCATATCGACTGCTTTCTCATAGAAATAACGAGATTTTCATGTATAGAAGTAAAGAATACTGAACTTTTAATTTTTCCATTTAATTCCATAGAATCTCAATTGTCTTGAATTTCATGCATAAATGAAAAAGCTTAAATAAAACACTAATATGATATCACAGGTTTTATCATAAAATAATGTATTAATATTTATTGTGCTACTATTATTGCATCTATATAGATTGCTTATGATCACATATCCAACATTAAAATGCTAGGGATGATTATTGTATAAAAACTATATAATAACTGCCCTTTATATCAGAAAGAATTTCTCTCAGATTAAAACAGAACAACCTAAGAATCTGTATTCACATCTCAAATCTTTGGTCAAGTTCAATGCCTTTAAATTAAATAAAGCTTTTAAAAAACAGACTTTCAGAGACATGCCTCTGATAATTTGGAACAAGAAAAATTATGCATAAATTATATTACTGCTCTAACTTCTGTGCTCTACAACCAAATACAAGCATCAGAATCAATCTGAAAAGCAGTAAACAAGTTCCTGAGTGCTATCCACAAAACATTTTAGGTAGGTACCAATAATGTGAATTTCTAATAAGTTTCCATCTGAAGAGAATGTTCTTCTTCATACTAGATTGAATTGCCCTAGAATCTGTTTCACTAAACTATGGCTTATGGAGCAAATTTGGCCTGCCTCGTATTTTTGTAACTCAAGTTTTATAGAAACATACTCAAGCTTGTTCATTTAGCTCTATCTATGGTTCTTTTATGCTACAAGAGAAGTGAGTAGTTGGAACAGATACTATATATACAGCCTACACAACCTTATATATTTATTATCTAGTCCTTTACAGAATATATTTGCTAACCCTTGCTCTAAAATGTCACTCTTCCTGTAGCTAAACAGTTGAGGTCTTTGAAATTCAGAAATGAAATTTACTCATATCAAATATAAAACACGTAGACTGTTAGGATACCTCAAAGCTAATAGAATATTCACCACCTTCATGAATGGTCTGAATAGCAACTATGAGTCGCCAAGATGTAGCTTTGATGAATATTTAATGTGTTTGACATCAAAGTCATAAAAGTACTCTCTAGACTATAATGAAAAAAATTCTGAAAATCTGTTGCTCCAGATACATGGTGCAAACAGTCCCACAAAAAATATACTGAAGGTATTAAGTCTATTATTAATAAAATTTCTGATTTCTTTGACAAAATATAGGCAATGTAAGAACTTACAATTATCCCAGGTAATGAAGGACAGGAAGAAGAAGAATAAATACATTAAATCATCACTTTCCCTAACTCACCCAATAATTGTCACATTATTATATGTTATCCTCTGCTATCCCTATTTTTAAATCATTGGATAATAGCAACCTAAGAAAGAAGCAGCATTAGTAGGCTGACATCAGACGTACAGAGAGTGGTGGTGGCAGGCCTCAAGATCTTTCAGATATATTCTGTTACTAGATTTCAATATAATTTTGCAGGATGTCTACTAGCCAGTACAATTCAGTATTTATCATTTCTCCTTGTCTTACACTAGATTTGATTCAGACATTTATATTAGGTGCTAGATCCTTGAAGATATTTGATGTAGAGATCCAGGGCTTAGAAAATATTCAAAGAACATTAGTTCAGTTAATTAGATCATTGCTAAAAGCTATTATGCATATTTGTTCATGTAGACATACATAAGTGAAACTAATAGCCTTAGAGCAAAAATCTGAGATTGTTATCTGAAAGGGGTAATTTAGTTTTGTGAAACACAATAAGCTTAGTCATCCTCACTGAAACCGTGAGACTAATAGTCATTATGATCATATTACAATGATTTGTTTAGGAGTTCGGGTTCCTTTTATATCTTTTGGTAAATAAAATCATAGTTTATGAGCCATATGCACAGTCTTCCAACAAATAATTACATATTTGGTTTCTTTAGAACACTGCCTTTGAATCAGAAACTTCCAAACTGGTATCCTATAAACTCTTGGTAAAAGTGATACTTCTCATTGTGAAAACTGAATTGCTAGTAAAATAAAGGAAGGAACATTTGTAAGCTAGTACCTGTTGCACGATTGTTGTTAATTCTAAGCAGAGCTGTATAACATTATTCCTTGTAACTGAATAGTCTGTCACAGCAGCAAATGGTGACCTACAAAGGGAAAAGGAAAATTACGATAATTAGCAATTGCTTTTGAAGAGCACTAAAACACAATAGCCAAAGATAGAATTTTGAATAATATGAAATAAATTGTCTTAAAGCTCACATATTGATAAAAACGACATTTGGCACTTAAAAATTGAGGGAAATTTTGAAAAGTTAAATTCTAGAATCATAATATTTGCTTTCTCATATTTAGAAGTACTTTCACCTTTTGATGCTTCTTCTTTATATCTAAAATAACAAAACCGCTTTAGGCAAAACAGTTTATTTTCAAAGGAAGCTAAGAATTTACAGAATCTATTAGAAATATTCAAAATTAAGAGCTAGTAATGTCAGTTAATATTGAAGGCTTACTATCTGCCAGTTACTGTTAAAAATGCCATATGAAATAATCTTCACAACTATTATGAAACAGGCACTTTTATCATTTTACAGATTAGAACATAATGGTAGAAAAAAGTTAAGTGACTTGTTTAAGGTCATGCAATTAGTAAGTGCTAGAGATGATTTTCAAACTCAGGAAGTCTGACTTCAAAGCTCACACTCACACAGTTAAATACTAACATATAAGGCAGGCATGGTGGTGCACATTTGTAATCCCAGCATTTGGAAGGCTGAGGCAGGAGGATTGCTGAGAGTCTGAGGCCAACCTGGGCTACACAGTGAGTTCAAAGTCAGCCAGAATACATAGCAAAACCCTGTCTCAAAAAACAAAACAACAAAAAACCCTAATATATAATTACTGCCTCTATGAATGTATAAATGTCTCTTCATTTCTATTTTGTACTAACTTTGTGTATGAATAATACATATATTCTGGTGTAAAGTCTACAATTTCAAAGACTGGTCTAGAAGAAAGAAGCACTCCTTCTTGCAAGTATTTTGTCACAATGTGACTACACAGAAGCTTTGGAATATTCTTTATCCTCAGTCTTGTCTGAGAATGCCAATCAGGTTTTATGTAGACAGAGCTTATATAATTGTGTAGGGAGGGCAGTTTAAGGAAAAGAAAACAAATTACAAGAAAAGAGTATTTGAGTTGAATATTTCTCAAATTACTGGAAACTTGATGTTTTATATCCCTTTCAGCAATTCACTTGGAATACTTAGGGTTGCTTTCTGGTCACAGACTGAATCAGACCACTTTCTCTAAAACGGTATAACTCAAATACCTTCAAATCTAAAGGAAGTCTATATAAGAGATGCCCTTCACCAGTTACATTTTTCTAAGCATATTTTTCAATTATGTATTTTTAAAAATTTTGACCATCCTAACAGCTATGTTATAGCATCTCATCACTTTAAATTTCGATTTCCCTAGCAGTTATCCATATCATTCTTAATCTATATCTAACAGTATCCATATTGTCCTAGCAACTATCTCATAGTTACTTACATCATATATCTTTCATGTACATATTTGCTATTCATATGTGCTCTGCAGTGTTCCTATCCATATATAGTGAAGGGAAAAATTATGTGTATACACAAGATAGTTAAGATAGTTTTACAGCAAACTTCTCTTAGTTCCTTGAAAAGAATGCTTTGTGCTAATATTATTTAGATAAGATGTCATGTCTATATCTTCTACTCTTAAGTAATAGGAAGACAACAACATGCAATGTATCAAGTATTGTAATTATCCTACTAACCTGTTTTGAAACTTGAAATGTATCAAATATTGTAACAACTAATGTATCAATTATTGTAATCAGCCTAACTTGTTTCATTATCTTTTTTCTCTTTAAAATAAAAATAAATCTTTTGCCCATTTTCTATTTGGATTATTGGTATTCTTACTGGTATGTTCAGAACAATTCTTAATATATTCTGTATGCAAGTTACTTGATAAAAGTTGATTTGTGAGTGTTTCTTCTCAATCTATGGTTTATCTTTTCATCTCCCTCACAGGATCTTTAAGAGGAAGATCACTAGTCTTTAGCATGTATAAAATCTTTCTGTGGTCAACCTTCCTGTGGTTATTATTTTTCTATAAGTTTACAGTTTTGTTTTTTATATTTAGATGGACTTTAAGTCAATTTTTCCATAAGGTGTGAGATTTGAGTTGAGGTTTACCTTTCTCACTATGCTTGTCTAAGTATATTCCAACATCATTTGTTGAACACTACTATTCTCCACCGAATTGCTTTTCACTTTTGTCAACTATCAGGTAACCATACTTATAAATGTATACCTCTGCGTTCTTTGTCTATCCTTTCACAGTTTTAATTACTGAAGTTTTATAATAAGACTTAAGACAATTTCTTTAAAAAATAAATGCACAAACATTAATTTTCCCCAAAGAAAATAACTATTCTTCTTCTTTTGTTTTTCGAAAAGAATTTCAAATCAGATTGTATGTATCTATAAAAAATCCTGATGGAATTCCAATATAATTTTTCTACAAAGACATTAAAAGAGAATTTGTATCTTGCTAATCTGAGTTTTTCAATTCATGAGTACATTATACCTCTAGGTTCATTTTAAAACTTTTTATTTCATACATCCGTGTTTCATAGTTTTCTTACATCAATCTTAGGGATACTGCTAAATTTATGCATAAGCCTCTCACTAATTTGAATCAACTATTAGTAGTGCTGTGTTTTAAAACTTAGTTTGTGAATGTTCATTGCTAGTATAAGGGAACTGGATTGATTTTTGTATCTGAGTTTCTAAATAATACTACCTTGCTAAAATCACTCTGACTTCTAATATTACAATGAACAATAGCGGAGGGAGTAAATAGATTTGAATTAGGACAAAAGCATTCTGTTTTTCACAATGCAGTATAGTATAAAGCAGTGGTGGTGAACATATGGCATGCAGGCTGTATCACTGGAAGCTCTAAAAGGTTCACCATCATTGGAATAAGGTTAGCAATATACTTTTTACATACTGTATTATCAAGTTTAAGTAACTCACTCTACTATGTGCTGATAATTTTTTCTCTCGCAAATAGACATAGTATCATAGTAAATGTTTTTGTACATTAAGTCATATAATCATATGATTTGATCCTTTAGCCCATGGATGTCATAGATATTTATTTCTTTTCATTTGTTTGAAGCAGCTTTATATAGAGTAAATACTACTTAATCATACTCTATAATTCTATGTACACGTTTGGAATTGGCTGGTTAATATTTTGTTGATGATTTTAAATCTAACTTTATGAGAAATATTAGTTTGTTGTTCTTTGCACTGTTTTTGTATCAGCATAATGATTGCCTCATAAATGAACTGGTAAATGTTTTTTTCTCTATTTGCTGGAATAGGTGGTGTAGAATTGGTATAAATAGATAAAATTCAGTAGCAAAGTCACCTACGCCTTGAGCTTCTCTTTTCTCCACCCCAATGAGTTTCTAAGTCCTACATACCTGAGTAGTTATAGTAGTCCTCCCTTTTCTGCAGTTTTGCTTTCTGTGGTTTCAGTTACCCAGAAATACAGTTCAAAAATATTAAGTAAAAGCCAAGCATGGTGGCTCAGGCCTAGAATCCCAGCACTCAGGAAGCTGAGGTAGGAAGATTGCTACGAGTGTAAGGACAGCCTGGGCTACATAAGCGAGTTCAAGGTCAGCCTGCCTACATAGTGAGACCCTGTCTCAAAAATAACAACAAAAAAAGCCCCCCCAAACCCACTGAAAAACAATAGTAAAAAAATTCCAGAAATAAATGATTCATAATTTCCCCTTACATGCCATTCTAAGTTGTGTAGTTAAATCATGGGCTATACTACTCGGTCTGACCTGGGATGTGAATCATTTCTTTGTCCATTGTATCCATGCTATATAAACTACTTGCCCATTAGTTACTTTGGAGCTGTCTCAGTTATTAGATTGACGTTCGTCGTAAGACAATGCTTGTACTCAGATTACTATTACATAGTGGCCTAATGTTATTTCACAATGCCTGGCATTCATCTCTCTTAATCTGATCACTTAGGTGTTGTATTAACTCCTATCAACATCAGAAGGGTGAGTATAATGCAATAAGATTTTTAATACATTGTGTATTGTTACCTTTTTTCCTGAGAGACCACATTCACATCACTTTTACTATTCTCCATTGTTACAAACTGTTCTATTTTAGTATTGTTGTTGTTAATCTCTTACCACGCCAAATTTATAAACTGAACTTTATCATAACTATTATGTGTGCATTAGAAAAGCCAGGAGATATAGAGTTTTGTAATACTGGTAGTTTTACTGGGTATATTGGAATATCTGTCTTACAGATAAGGGAAGACTACTATACAGGACTATTCAGAGTTAAGTTTCAGTGGTTTGTGTATTTTAAGACATTGGTCCAATTCATCTATGGTGCCAAATTTGTGTACATAGAGTTACTTATATTATTGCTTTATTAACCTTTTAATTTGGCCGATTTATCTACTGCATTTTTCCTTTCAACTTCATATCTGTTCTTACCATTATTACTTGTTCAGCTTGTTTTGTGCTTATTTTGTTCTTAATTTTGTTTTCTTGGGATGAGAATTTATGTAACAGATTTGAGACATTTCTTCTTCTCTGATACCAGTATGCAGTGCTATAAAAGTCCCTTTCAGCAGAGATTTAGCTCTGTGCCAAAAATGACACTTTGTTTTATTTTCATCCTGTTGAATGTACTTTATTCCTTGAGAATTTTTACTTCACCAAACAATTTCTTAGAAGTGTATTGAGTTTTAGTTTGATTCCATTATATGGTTTCTATTTTATAAAATTTGTTGAAGTTTGTTTTATAATATTGATATGGTCTATCTTAGTAAACATTTTTGGGCACTTGAAAAGAATTTTATTTTGCTATTGTTGAATGAGGTGCTGTTAAAATGTCAGTTACATCTTACTGTCTGGTGCTGGTATTTAGCTCTTGAAATTCTTCTGACTTCCTTTATGTCGAGCAGTTCTGTCAATTCTTGAGAAAGAAGCTGGAGCATACAAGTGTAACTGTGTATTTGTCTATGACTTCTTTTAGTTTTTTCAATTATTGTT